AGCTGTGACTAGCTCTGTGCTTAGGTCTGAATTTGAGCTAGCAGCTTGCAGATGAAGTGGCCTGCTCATATACAAATCTGAGAGAGCAGAATAAGGCTGTCTTGTTTGTACGATCAGAATACATTGACTGCGCAGCATCTTCTGCCTTTCCTGTTGTCTGAGTCCATTAAGATTGTGGCAGACAGATCCTGACTTGTGTCCTGCTCCTTTGCAGTGTGCAGGTGGCAAAAGGAAAGGAGAGATGATTGTGTGGAGGAAAGGGTAGAAGTAAGGGTAACTCAATTTCTTGGTCTAAGGTGCTGCTGCATTAATATAGGACAACCTGATGACCCTGACTCCCTGAAAGAAGAAGAGTTTGTCTATGTGTTCATTGTTTCAGTAGACTGTCTTTCGCCCTTTCTTGGAGCCACTTCTGCTTGTGGGCACTTTTTCATGTAGCTCCTGGTGTACAAAGATCTTCTATGTATCTGTGATTCAGAAATAATGCATACCTGGCATCCGCTCATCATCTACCTATCCACAGAATCTTGGCTTTTTAGGGCACCTGCCGAAAGTGCTCACACTGTCCCCTTTGTCTGTAAAGAGAGCCTTGCCCCATAACATGAACTGTAAATCTGAGCTTAGGAAAGTGTCTCTACTGGATCCTGGGGACCCTAGATGCCTAACCAGGTCAATTTGAATTGTCTTCCTGGGCAAGGCATGCATAGGTTGGGTAAGGTAACATCTAATCCAAAACAGATAGTTGAAGCAGTTGGAATCCTGGCCTCATTAACTTAGGGGTATTATTACTACCTACTTTAAATAAGTACCAATAAGAAATTTGCAATATGCTAGTAGGCATTAGAAATAAATGACTGTAACATAACAGCCACCCTTGATGTAAGTTGTTTACCTGAATGTCTGTGTATTATAACATATGATATAACAAACTGACTGTTTGGTTTACAATGGTATAATCTTTGCCCCTCACACTCGTGGGGGAGAGGATTCAGAAGCCTGCTGAATCCTAGAGGTGGGCCAATATGGAAATACCTGGAGTTATTGTTTACAGTGATGGTTACCTATAACTGATTGAAACTAGATGACCACACCTGAGTTGGGGAGAAGGTACATGGTATTTTCTGGTGTGCAGTCACGTTGGAGCTGGTCACTTAAATCCATCCCTGTGTCTGTCATTCAGGCACCTGCATTCTCTGTTCAATGTACACTTAAGTCATTACATCCAGTTCCCAGGGTCAATTCGACACTTCCACATAGCAGAATATATCTGGTCCTTTTTTCTAGACTAGCATTAAGTGACTAGTGAAGGAAGGGAAACAGCGTGGTTATAATGCTACTGCAGCCATTACATCTGCTCTTTCACTTTTCCTGGTAGCTCTGAAAAGGGATCAAATATGTTTCAGTTAGGATCCCCTTAATACAACATCACATAGTCTGAAGGACTGATCCTTCCCACAACTACTTTGCAAGTGCCTAAACAGAGTTTAGAATTAAATTTGAAAGAAGCAGCTGACTTTAATTAATGTGAAAGAAATGCAAAACGGCCATTAACTTTGAGATGTAGAGTGTCATATTAGTATTTGTGATGTTATATAACACATTACAAAACAGGTGCTATGCCTAGAAAAGATTCAAGAATGTAGAAGTAAACTAAAATAAAGAATAGTTTGTATATTGAAAGTGCCCTGTATTTTGGTATATTTAATTTGTTTTTTGTAATTTAATTACTTTACTTGCACAGATAACCCAGAAAATACTATTGCACTCAATAAGTTAAACACTTGACATTTTTATCCCTTAAAATGCAACATTCTAGAAGTCTAGAGATGTTTATTAATTAGTGATTATTAACACCCACTAAACAACATCATGTCTTGTAAAAACACAATCTTCCTTCACAGCATGGAGCTGAAATCTATTATTCACTGATTCCATATGCTGAAATACACTCAAATGATCACAAATGACCTTAAGCATTAGATAAATGTAAATGAGGAGAGAGTAGAAAATGTGCTTTTGATTGATATCTAAAAGAGCAGGTTTGAAATCTTGACAGGGGATGAAGTCCTATACAAAGTATGTGGCAATAAGAAACCTACAGAATGTATCATTCTGAGGAGGGATATACCAGGAAAAGGAGCCCTTCCCAAGAGTATCTGACCTTGAAGATACTTACAGGAGTGCTCAGAATCTTTAAGGTCTGTGATCAGAAATATTCTCAGAGGGGTATGTATATATTATCTCTTCAACAAGCACTTATGAGGATACACAGGTATCTCCAAACTCTGTATTATTTCACAATTAATGTAAATATTTTCCAGCTATTAATTACACAGGTCTACCTTAAGAGCTTGTCTACATAGGAAAATCACACCAGTATAAGCTCAAACAGGAATTCAAGCTACAGGCATTATAACTCTCTAGGTAGACATTCTTATTCTGCTATAAGAGCATGCTCTTTTAGTTTAGTTTTGTCATTTTGGAAGGGGGTTAAGTTATATCATAAAATACATGTATATTTATCACTCTTATTTCTTAGTAGGAGTATCTAGATAGGGAGTTATGACACTGTAACTATATTGGTTTAACTACACTGATTTATCTGGTAAAACATTCTTATGCAGACAAGCCTTAATTTGGAATGTGTCAAAAATTGGCAACAGTTAGTAGTAGTCAAAGCAAGCCAAATTTCAAATTCTCAGCTGCTTTCAACACCCACTATTTCTAATTACACTTTTAATAAGAATACACCATGTGAATTTGTGGTCTCAATGATAAACCTTCTTTGGACTGAGTATGACCAGGATTTTGTCCTTACTTTGTCAACTGTATCATACAGTTGACAAAGAGGTAAGATATCTTGTTGGTGATATCTTTTACTGGACCAAATGTATAGTTGGGATAGACACAGATAAGCTTTTGAGTTCTCTCCTTCTTCAGGTCCCCAGGAGAGAAGCAAACACTACACTGAGTAGCAGATGGAAGAAAAGCTTGTGTAAAAATCCATAGGTAAATAAAAACAGGACAGAAGAGAAATTACCAGGTAACCAACAGACAAGAGAGATGAAGTAAAACCCTGAAAATGGAAGAATAAGATAGTTTTGGAGGGTCCTTATCACCTAAGAAGTATAGAGATAAGCGAGTATAAGGTATAGCATAATGAACCATGAAGTCAATGAAAGCTTGTCTACATTGAGGCCAACCATGCATTTGGTACACTGAAAGATGCGACCCATACAAATTATTGCTTCTTGCATAGTTCCCAGACCATCTTAACAACATTACTTCAACACTAGCATTGCAACTATATAGCAATTTTGCAGTGACACCAGTACCAACCTTGAAATACTTCAGCTAATCCTCTCCCATATTTCAGTCAGGTAAGTAAATACCATCCACGTTTGACAGTGAGGGAAAGTGATAGCAAAAAGAGAGGTTTTGACCTCACAGTGAAAGAGTTGGCACAGTCAAGAACTCAAAATTCCTATGGTAAAGTTTTCAACAGCATCTGGTTCTCTTAGGGCTAGGTCCTATAAAACAAAATGTACCTATAAATTTGGTGCTGCACTGCATCTACACAGACCTTCCCCAATGTGGAATCCAAATGTACAGTTGAAAGTCTAAGTTCCCTATACATGCTTTGGGGAGGGATAGGTGCTTCAAAAGGGCAATCCAAAAACTTGCATGCAAAGTGGGGAGCTGCCTTGAGCTAACCAACAGGCAACACTAACCAGGGCATATGTCTGAAGTTCAAGCAGCTGGTTCGGGGCAGCAGGCAGATGGCCCTGTCCACTTGGGATCAAGAGCTCAGAATCCTCTCCATTCTTTCAACGAGCTGAGCAAAGGCCACTTTTTGAAAGCAGCTGTGGAAAACAGTGGAACAGGCGGCCTCTCAAACTGCTGATTTTCAGCCATGCAGCTGGTGAAGGCTCTTCTGACCATGATCTTTTATCGTAGCCTTAGATAAGTTACGGTCCTCATCTAAGAGAGGGGAATCCTTAGTTCTGGTCACTACTCTAAGGGCTGCTTGTGCATTTGAATAGTCATTGGGTAAAGCCCAGAAGTAATTCTGAGAACAAGGGACAAAATTTAGGACTCCCCCTATCTCTAGGGAGTGCCATAACCACTGGCATAAAGAACCACACTCCTTCTTGCTAATCCTCCATCTGGCCCAATGAATTTGCACTCCTGGCTGTACACTGGGTCATCTGCATCAGGAGAGGTAAAGTGTGGTGGTTAACTCCCTTGGCAAGTGGGAGTTGTGGGTTTGAATCTTGTCTGACTTCCCAGAGTAAGTGTTTTAACTTTTAAGGCAAAAGGTCAGCACTAACACTGCCCCTAGCTGTGTTTTGTGTTAAACTGTATGAGTGCTCTCAGCATCAAAAACTTGCTAGTCATGCTTTGATCCCAACCTAATAAATTGAGAATTTAGGAGGTGATTAGGTGTCTCCTGGCTTTGATATAGGGTAACACGTACCCTATTTCCTAATCTTACATCCAACATGGCAGAACATGCTGCCTCTCAAATTGCCAATTTTCACCCACACAATTAACAGCCTCCTTTTAAAGAGACACCTTCCATATATTAAAAAAATAATAAAAAAGAAGAAAAATGCCATGTCAAATATAGCCAAGATTAACGATATTGTATTCTAACAATATACAATATAATCAATTGCTAAGAAGTAATTTATTGCTAAAATGGAATTGAGTTCAAGGATATGTATTTTTCACTACTTCCAAATTTGGTTTTAGAATTTTTTCCAGAGTTCTCAGCATATATGGAAACACGCACAAATTTATATATAACTTCAGATAGTGGTATTTGAATTTGAGATTAAATAACTGCATTTAATTTCATAAACACCCATCTCTTGAAGAACTGGCTTGACTCACTGACAGTGCATGGTTATCTTCCATGCCGATCAAATAAATAATTCATATTTTCCATTTAGATTAAATGTATATCATACAAACAATCAATTTTAAAAGTATCTTACCAGCTTGATATGGTTTGAGCCTTAAATACTCCTTCGTTTTGGTTCCTTCTGATGATGTCACTCACATCTTTAACATACTTGTTAAGGAACATCTATTAAATTAGCATAAAAATAATGATTCATCCAAAGTACATTTCCCAATTTTAATATCTTCTTAGTTTCTCTTCCCTGCTTTAATCTGAGCCAACACTGAGGGTTTTTAGAAGTAATGAATTTATAGTGTCCTCGAAATATCTGGACCAGCAGTTCATCATTTTACCCATGCTCATTGTCTGTCCTTTATTTAATTTTTCCACCTTTGTGTTTTATTTGAAACAAAGGTTCTTCCATCTATGTATATGAACAGAAAGCTAACATTTTAATAATAAAAGCAGCACAACTATCTGGCAACTGTGGATATATACCATATTTATTTGAATCTAACAAACCTGAATTTAAGACAACCCCCCAAAAATTAGATTCTATACATGAAAAAATATAAACTTGTTATAATTTTCCAGGTATAGAATGTAATTATTGGGGGGTCACCTTTAATTCTTCACTCCCATCACTACACAGGGGCACACACTGGGGAGGCAGGTGTTGTTGGGAGGTCAAGCAACTTGCCCCTGCCCACTGCCTGCCCCCACCCCCAGCCTCAGCCCCTGCCCCACTGGCCTCTGCTCCCCACCCTGCCAGCCTCTGCTCCCTGCTTCCCCCCAATCCCTCCTGTTCCCAGCCTCTGCTTCCCTCTTCCCTGCTCAGCCTCTGCTTTGCACTTGCAGGCTCCATCCCTATTCTAGCCTGGGGCATTGAGCACAGCTCCAGCCCCACCCACATAGCAGCTGTGTAGGTTGGATTGAGGCCATGTCCAGTGCCCCAAGGCTGCAGTATGTACAGAGCCGGTCAACTTGGTGCAAGGGTAAAGCTGGAGAGAAAGAGAGGTAGGCAGGGGAGCAGAGGCTACTTGGGGCAGAGGAGGTCAGAGATGAGAGAAGGGGCTATAGGGGGGTGATGGTGGGAAGCAGAGGTGGTGGGGGATGTGGGCAGGGGCAGGCAGCAGCTTCAGCTTTGGTCCTGACCACTCATAGGCACTGGAGCCCAAGCCACAGCAGCTGCCTGCCCTCCCCCACCACCCTCACAATTCATTCTGAGATGAGGGTCTTTTCCTTCCCTGTTAAATTGGGAGGGGGGACCTCATCTTAACATTGAATTAATATAGTATTATGGATGCAGAACTGTCAACATGGTCTCATAATGCCCTGTTTAGTTTGTGGTGCCCTTTTACAATGACATGGGCCACTAGCTCACTAGTTCCAAGAGCTCATGGTTTTGCCTTCCATTCCTGACCCAGTACGTACACATCAGGTTTACTGCTGTGATTTTCTGTAGGAAATGTAGCATACAGCAGGAATACACTAGCATGTATGCAGTGGAATTTCTGGTTTGATTTCTCTTTCTTGAAAAGTACTTGGAGTTTCTCTCAGGCACAGTTGATCACAAGAGAACAATACATAGCATTCCTTCTTCTGAGGAGCTGAGGGGAGGGAGGTCTCTGCTTCATTCTCAGAGCCTTGTTACACTGCAATTTTTAGCAGGGTAATTTTGGGAGCTCTTAACACCTGGCTTGTCTGCACCTTAACACCTGAAACTGGTTTTAAGTGCTCGTTATGCAGCTCAAAGTTACACCACTCCAGGGCAGGATTATCTCTGATCTGTGTTACTCAGCTCATGTTACACTAAGTTGTAGCCACTCTAAACTATACCTTAGTATAAACACGCCACCCGCTCATCCTCCCCTGCTGGCCTGAATCAGGCCCACTGCTCCCCGCCCTCCCCAGTAACCTCGATACCCACTCACTGCCCCCTTACCACCCTCCTGCTTACTTGTGGCTGCTTGAACTGTCTGGTCAGGGGAGTAGGTAGGGAAGAGTTAACCTACTCGCGCAGCCATGGCCATGGCTGCTCTCTGAGTTGGGCATAGTGTGAAGAGCAGCAGTTTGGCCAGCAGCAAGGTTAACCCTTCCCTGCCTGATCCCCTAGGAGAGAGAGTGCAGGCAGCCACTAGCAGGCGGACAGGGCAGGGGGAAATCTGTGGTGGCGGGGAGAGGGGGGATGAGGGGCAGAGGGAAAGCCAAGAATGGGAGAGGGTGGCAGATTCTTACCTTTCAGTCCTCCAGGCCCCTGCTGCCCTAGACATGTGACTGCTCCAAACTCGAGCTAGGACTAACACTGATCAACTTTTGAGCAGCTCACAGTGTAACATGTAACAAGACCCTCAGCCTCTTTTTCTCTGGAAGCTCTAAACACAGATTTTGGTGCTCTGTGTCATCACTCATATACTAATCAAAACAAGGAGTAGCACTGATGGGTCTGAAAAGGACCTGTATCCAATCTATTTATAGCAATGAAGACTCTCCAAGACTAAGGACACTTGTAGTCAGCAGTAAAGGGTACTAACAGCAGGTAACTGAGGGAGCATGAGAGGACACACAAAAACACATTTCAGCTTGCATAGATTTCAGTGATTCATGTAAAACAGGACTATTGGGACCTGGTCTCCTCCCTAGTAGATACTATTCCCATTCAGAAATAATTAGTCTCTTTCCTTTCTCAGCATAACCACTAAAATTAGCATGGAGAAACCAAACCACTGCAAGGTGCTTAGACAACATAGGTGTGGACTGGTAAAGAAGTGTACTCATGAAGACAGCTTTTACGAAAAAAATGAACCCATGCTACTAAAGGAGGATTTTGCTGAAGTACAAACAAGTCATTGTATTCTTTACTGCAAATTTCTTGATTGCAAATGAAATAATTGATGTTTTGTTAATTAAAAATTACCACTATCCTGTATCTCTATATTTGCTTAACTTAAAAAATCTCATGATTAACTTACCTAAGAGTATGGCTATTTCACAATTTTTTAGCAAAATCTTCTAAGTTAACAATGTAGAAGAAAAGACCATTGACATTTATTACGTGCAACTGAAAATTATAAAAGACTCTTTTAAATTGATTTCCCCACCCTCAAGATGCACCTTGTAAAGCATTTCTACCACATCCAATAAAATATCAGAATGTACAATATATACCCATGGAGCAGAAGGAGAACATGACTACTCTCATAAGCAAAATATATTATTTTGTTAGTAGAGGTAACACTGTAAATACATTAGTGAGAGTGAAGTAATTTTATGTACTTAATTCAGGAAATCTATTTATAATTTTAGCAAAAATTTTAACACTATATATTCTAAATAATTTATAAACCCATATCTTCAGGCAATAAGGTAACATCTGACCTTTATAACCTGGATTTCCCATGGCTGTTGACAGATCCACACATTCCACTGCATTTCAATTGCAATTGTAAGGTATTGTCTCAGTGCATTGTATTACTGATGCTTTCTGGTGGAAGTTAGTTGCCAATTTATAGTGCATGTGAAATGGACTTAGGACATAAAGTAATGAATTATATGGCCATTTTTATTAGAAATGGATCTGACCTGAAAACTTCAATTTTGTTTGGAATGTTTTTTGTGTTGTAGGACATTTTGGAGATTAGAAGTTCTGGACAGGATCCATCAGAAAGAAGTGACGCATGAGCAATACACAGATCTGGATCTATATTACCCCAAAGTGTGGAGAGATTTCCATTTAAGTGATCCACTTAATCTCTTTAACTGCCTTGTAAAATGCTGAACTTCTCCTTTTATAGTGTTGCTATCAAAATAATCAGAATCACTTAAACATATCCATACAAAATCAGTGATAAGTTGATTGAAGCTGATAACCAAGGAAATCCATCTTTATTTCACTAGTTTATTCCTAGGTATTGCAGCGTATGCTGTATGATTTATTACTCAGTTTATCTATCATTACCTGTGATAAGCACAATGGTCTGAATCAAGGACAGGGTGACACTGTTTTTTAAATGAATAATCTTCAGCATTTTAAAATCTTTTGACCCCCTACATCATAGGATCAGTAATCACTATCAAATATGAATGTTTTATATAAAACTAGTTAATGCTTCACGTTAAATGCACAGTGAAGAGAGATTTGAAATTAAAGTTAAACAAGTGGTTGGTATGTTAAGCAAGTCATGTAATGTTTCAATATACTATCTTCATATTGGCATTTACAACATACGGAGTGATTTCCTTATCTAACAGCCAAAACTAGAATTAAACATTTTGGAAAATAAAATAAATAGTGTAAAAATTAAGGTAAAATCAGATCCCCAAAAGCTTAAGATGTGACAAAGCAAGGCCGTTTGTTACTCTCACTGAATAGTGAAAACAACAACAACAACAATAATTATGATGATGATGATGATGATGATACAAAGGCAGATTCTCAGATGCAATGCACTATTGCCAGGTTGATTTTCAATTACATTTCACTGATGTATTCATTTGTTTCTTAATGTGCTCATCTTGCCCATTAAGAATAATTAGCAGGCTTGCTTGGTGATTTCCTGGCTTCTGACAGTGATTTTTTCCCCCCTTTTTGTTGAAAACCATTTTTAGTTTTTGGAAAGTAATTTTTGGATATTATAGTATGACTGGGATATAATTTAAGTTTCCTAAGAAATTTAAAGGGAAGATGTAAACAGTAATTTTTAAACAAGGTTATTTAATCCATAACACCTAAACAATAACTCAGAATACTAGACATTATTTCTGTAGAGCAGAATCCAAAATAGAAAACCTATTTTCAGGTGATTCATTCGACAAAACTATTAAAACAGGTGAATAAAAAAGTAAAAGTTAGTAGAAATGAATCATTACTTCTATTATTTTGAACATTTTGGGACAGATTCGATTCTCATTTGTAGCAACAGAAGGCCCCTGATTTCAGTGAGGTCAGTGTGGCTGTAACAGATCTAAAATTGTATTATAGGTAGGAAAGAATGCAAAAGGCAAATTACCATAAGACAGATCATAAAACTATCAGTGAAGTCCATAAAATACAACATAAATTTTATTGCACACTTTTAAGAATGCATTCCACCTACACTGTGAAGTTTTTAGTGTACTGCACTTTGGCATCCTGCTATATTAAACCCATTGTAAAATCTAGCACAATAAAAGCACTTTGAATCCTGAGTTTCAGAGTACCAAATGTTAAGAAAAAAAAGAAATAAATTCTTATGGCAGTCTTTCATCAGTCACTTCTCTGAAAGACTAATACACTGAATACAGACTATGACTTCTTGTGTGATTTTAGGACATATGAAATATTTCCTAAATAAATTATGGAAACATAAGCGACTTAATTGGGTGATGTTAATAGTTCTCTTTTTGAGGAACAAAACCACTTTAATTGTTTAATACAATGGATGAATAATTTTAGCACATATTAGTTCATACCCCTGAGTTAGAAGAACTTTGGCAATTTGGTAAAAGTTTAGATGTGTTCATTTAATCTCTGAAACAAGGTATTTAGCAACTTGATGATTACTATAACCACATGAAACTTTGTGTGGGGAAAGGGACATTTTTGTTAAACAAACATCCTTTATCAAACATCAGCTTATTTTGCTATTTTGATTTTGTACATCTCCTACCCCTGCTGCCCACTGTAGGAAGAGGGGAGGTTATTTTTGTAAATATTCCCCCACAATGTCATATGAATATAATTGATATAGTATAGTATGTTACATTAAACTCCACCAAATAATGCAATACTGAAGCATTAAACTCATTCATAAAGACATATTAGTCATGAATTAAATCTGTGTCTTTTAGAGATTCATGGGGCTTTTTTCAAGTCTGAAGTATATGATTTGTGATTGGGTACTTTTCTCCATGAAATTGTTAAAGTATTTTAGACAATTACAGCTGGCAGTAGTACCTCTAAGAATATAAGTGGGCTGTGAACTAATATTCTTGCAGTACCATGTCTCTTGTTTTAACAGTTTTATGTAATTTCACTTTTCACATTTTAAATAAAAGCCACAACAAAGGTTAACTTAATGAAAAAGTAAGTACACAATATGCTTGTATTCACACACACACACACACACACACACACACACACACACACACACACACACACACACACACACACACACACACATATATAAATCATAAATCAAAATAATTCTGATGCTACAGTAGTCAAAATTGAACAAGTAGTCTGCCTTAAAATGCAAATTTAAAAATTACTAAGGAAGAAAAGTAAACATATATCTTCTTCCATTTTTTCTCTCAATTTCCAACAGCTACTAATAGTCACTAAAAATATCATTCTTGTGCTACTGTAGATATTTACTGCCATAAATTATGTTCACTCACTCTCTTGCTTAACCAAATACATTTCATTTTCAGAACTGTGTGTACACATTCATATGGCATAACAACAATTTATTCTAACATAATATCAGAAATGAAATAAAATAGAACATGGAAGAGAGTAGTTTTATACCCCAATGTTAGGAGAAATAATTCAAAACTGATAATGATTAAATACAATAAATAGATAATTTATAGGCAGGTGTAAGTTAAAAGTAATCACAGTACCAGGCATTTAATAATGTACACTGTGAGCACTAGGAAGTACATGTGTATTGTGTATAATATAATATAAAAGATTAATATCTGAAGGCAGACTTGGTATAAAAAAGATCTAGTTTCACTAGTACAAAGAATAAATGTCAAGGGGGAGTTAATTATTTGGTTTGCTGATGTGCTTCCTATAACATACAACATATAAAAATGGAATCTCTCAGCACTTAACCATTAGCCAAATATTTATCACTGTACCTTGCTGCTTTCTTGTAACCAACATATACTTTTTTAATCCAAGAAGAAAGTATGGAATTTATTACAGGGAAAATTGTAGCTCTGTTCAAGAAATTCTGTATCTTTCCATTTTTTAATTACTTATGGAGGAGACTTTTTTTAATATACCCCATGCTGTCTTTCTTTATATCAATTGTTACTCAGCCAGTAAAAAAGGAATGAGCACAACAAACCAGTTTTCTATCTGAATAAGGATACTTTTGATGGCCTTTTCATTTCCATCAGTTAACAGAACTTCTTTGACATCTGCAGAAATAGCAACCTGAAAAAAAGAGCACAGCAAACAATGAGCAAATATGCTTGTCTGTGTGGAAGTGAAGACAGGAGTGACAAGCCTTCAGTATCATGCTTCCTCACCTATTTCTCTGTAACAATCTTCAATCTTTTTTCATTTTATGTCTGCATTATTTTAATCATTCAATCAAATCAGTCAATACTTTTATCATTCCATTTGCGGGAGCCTCTATCTTGCTATCATTCTGTTCCGTAATTGCATTGTGACAGCGGATGATGGTATTCTGAGAGGCTTTCATTTGCGGGCTTCTGTTTATCTAGTAGAGCCATCATACAAGGCTGTCACTCTGCCTTTCAGCTTGCTTCTGTCTGACTGCCTGATGCCCTTCATATAACTTTGCATTGCAGGCAGATGGCTTTGTAAGGGTAATTTTTTTGTGAGCTTTGACATGCTCGCACATTGGGCTGTAACCTCGACACATTGTATAAGAGCGACAGGTTTGTCAAATGCCAATCAGTGTAACAATATGCTTTTATTTGTAGAGACATAAAAACTTGTCTAATGCACTGCACTGCTACATAATATCTCCTGAATACATGACTCAGAACCCAGAGAATGGTGAACGACGCTCCTGAATGGCCAATCTAATTCAAAAGAATCTAATTACCGAGAGCTCTGGATCATGTTTGTTGGTGTAATAATGCAGGCAAAACATTAGCAGCTATATCATGGTGCTCCAACTGTGATTCGCCAGGCTATTCCTGTATCTTAGCAAATGGGACTGTAATCTGAAAAAAAAAATGCTTCAGCTATGGCAATGAAAGACAGACCGTACGTGGCCTGGAATGTCACAACAAGAGATATTGACTACACTGAGGTAAAATGTTTCTGCTCATCGAGGCAACCATAAAATCAATATGATACGAAAGCAAGTCAATCTAGAAGGTCTCTCAAGACTCTGCAGCTTGACCGCAGCTGATGCTGTTGACAGTTCTCTGACCCAGCAGTTGGAGGCACTGGAACATTTTTTCTTTTGTTCCTTTCTCTGAATGGAATTGGAATTGAGAAAAGACCTACCATGAGCCCAGCCAAGCATGTCATGCCACCCCCTAGCTCACACACAGCAAGGTCCCTGAAAGAGAGAAAGGAAATGGTAGAACCCATACAAATTAGATGAAAATGGTCAGAAAGACATATATGTTACAAGAACAAATTGCCATCTGCAGTAAGAACTGAGCTACCAGGAAGTTGTAGAGACATGACTAGGCTACCTCATGTCGTTTTGCGTTTTAAAAATAATTATGAAATAGAAAAGTCACAAAGCAGGCAAATCAGTGGGGGTTCCCTCATTAGTGTTCAGTGCAACATTACCACCGCTGAGCTGAAAAATCTGAGAAGGTTCCCTTTTTTCCCCTTGACAATGGCGCTGTCTTTTAGAACTAAACTAGCTAGAGTAGCGAAAGATAATTGTTAGGAAAGGATAACAATGTTAATCCACATTCATTCTTGCAAAAACAGTTAAAGAAGTAAATGGAGAAATTAATATTATTTATGCATCTGTCCACACAGCTGTATCTATACTTTATATATTAAGAAATTAAAATACATTTCAGAACAAGCTGCATGCCTTACACAAAATAATTACATAGGAAGCATTCAGTTCCCTCAATTAGCACTTAAAATTGTGAGTGACCTACAAACAATATAGCAGTGCTGTTATAAACAACACTGTAACAACATATAGTTAAACCATTGAAAACTAAGGTAAGGTAATGTCAAGAGTCTATTCTCAATACAGAAAGGAATAGAACTCAGCATTAAGGTTGAATGTCTAATCCGACATGCTGTTCTTAACTTAGCCTATTGTGCATAGGTGTTAATAACACACGTGTTATCCATGTATAGGAAATGTACTTTGCATAGATAGTCTGCATAATGGGAATGGTGTAGGTGGAGCCATCAAAAAAAGGCTTGCATTGGGCCCATCTCCAATTCCATGGCATGTTCCAGCTTCAATAAGGGATAGGGAGATGACACTGCATTAGCCAGCAGTGAAGGCAGTAATGATTAGAGCAGACAGAAAACTTTCCATGGAAATGTTTTTGACAGATTTTTTTTTTGACTAAACAGAAATTGAGGTGGGAAAAAAAATTAAAAATTGAAAACTCAACCTGTTTTGCAAACACATTAAAGTAATTTCCAATTATGTTTTTTCCAGGAAAACATTTTTCACAGACAGCCATGTAAGCACTGTTTAAAAAATAAGTCCCCTACCCTAGCAGAGTTTTATGGGCTAGGCTGTATCTTCATAATCTGCCACTCAATCTGGGGATGGGATGGATTTCTCTCAAACATTGTGCACTTTACTAGCAAAAAGTCTACTAATCTAGATTTATGAGAGAGCAGTAAATATCATCCTTTTATGGACTGGCATAATTTGGAGCCAAAGAAAAGCCCAAATGTAATTAAGGAAATTAAAGAAATTTAGAAATTTGCAACTTAAATTCTGAATTTCTTTGCACCTTGTGATTTAAATAAATTCCTCATTGTTATTTTGTCAGTTTTTTTCTGTTTTTCTTTAGGTTTTGGCTTTTCTAAATGGTACAGGTATGGTGTTTAACAAAAACACTTATAATCTACATTTTGCATTTAATAAGTATTTATTCCTTTATAGCAATTACGAGCCAGGCAGTAAATATAGCAAGCACTCAGGGTTTTTTTAAAGTGTATTATGGAACCAATCATGCAAATACATAATATATGTACACACATATATATGAGAGCACTTATTCAAACATGCATGATAAGCATTAACAGCTCTTTTGGAATCATACCAGTCTATTGAGCAAATACATATTTGGTGACTTTTACAAAATGAGAACTAAAATTTGAAAAAATGTAGGTACTCAGAGTTGATTGTTTAGGAGGCCTAAACCTATCAAGTGATGACTAAGTAAAATGCCATTGGCTTTAATGGAATATTTGGGTTTTCAGATTCTGTAGGCCCAGAATTTAGGACTTGTATAGAAATTATTTTGGAAAAAATGGAACAGAATGATTTATGATGCACACCCACAGTAGCACTTCTTCGTAGCAGCCACAGTAGCAGCTGTGGGGAACTCGGGGCACCAAACCAAATCAAATAGCTGGGTTGGGCATTGGGTATATATCTGTGGGGAGAAAAGGTCAGAGGAAGCCTCCAAATGACAATGGAAATAAAATTTAAGAAGCTCCAGTCTATATCTGCAGAAGCAAGCTGAAGCTCCTTATAAAGTCAGGAGTCAATGGCTGGTGAATCTGAGTAGTGGCAGATCTGTTTGCTTCAGTCTGCCTCCATGCTATGTTCAGAAAGTTGTTCGTAGTTGTGTAGGCAGCTCATGTTCACAGGGGGACGAAGGGAAACTTCTATAGCCCAAATCCTTCTCCCTCACTCAAAACAATAGAACCATAGGTGTCCTACTGACTACAGGGCCCTGGGCACCCACAGAGAAGGGAAAGGGATATATAGCTTTATTTATTTTTTATGTATGCCTGCAGCATGCTTGACCTGGCTTGTTGCAGAAAGGTTAAAAAATGCATACATAAAAATGTAGAACACTTCAAAAATGCTAACAGAGCATTACAAGTAGGTGTACAAATACACCCATCGCCATATAACACGAATGGGATGTACCTTATCAGATATTATTTTGCTTGCTTTCACAATAGATGTCAGTTTAAAGAATGTCTTTTATTTTTCCTGACCTTCACAATCAGTACTGATCGATCGGAGCTTCACTTTTGTTTCCCAAAAATCAAAGTGAAATAAAATGCCTTGAGTGGAAATCAAAAGTCTTTGACATATAGCAAAAAGCTTGCTGTGCATTATTAGTACCCAAAGGCAGCTCAAAATTCTTTGTTAAGAGCAACATGCTTTCACCTTGAACATTTTAAATTTAATCTGAAAACTTAAATCATAGCAATCTTTACCATGCAGATACAATAAAACTAACAGATTGGAATTGTATCTTTTGTGTTCAGCTCTGTACCTGAATATTTGATTGTGCTTCAGGCAATAGTAAGCTAGCACCTCTTCAGAAGGCCAGATACCTATAAAACAAAGATATTTGCTTTTTAGAATAGATTTTTTTCCCTCTGAAAGGTGTTGTTAATATTTATTTACTGTTTCAATATCTCTACCGAACAATAGTTTGCTGGATTTTTTAAATTTCTGAAATAGACTGCAATGCCAGAGAATACAGTAAAGAACAATGGCAGTATTTCTCAGACACTCAGCAACAGATATATGGACTTCAGCAAGATTACGCCTCACCAGCCTACTTTTTAAAAAGTCAGACACTGCCATTAAGACTTTAACACTAAGAACAATCAAATTACAAGAATCATCTATTTTATACCATACACTTATATTTGCAGCCTCAGTAACTACTGATAGACATCAGATTCAACAGAAAATAACTTCATATTCAATGATGTTCAGCTGTGAAACTCCTAATGGATTTGTGACTAAATAATATTTGTAAGTATTTGATCTCCTTGGTTGGTGGTCATGAGAGTAGTTCTGTGTAAACATCCATAAGACAGAATTTGGACTGATGTGCAGCTCACTGGATAGCTCCATGATTTGTTAAGACAGGACCTTGGCCTTAAATGGAGCTTGTGCCTGTTTAGGTCAACTTGGTCCTTCAATGGTTCTGAAAGTTTCTGACAGGTAAACTGAATTCTTACATAGTTTGCTTTGTAGAATTCAGATAGTTGGGGTTTTTTAGAAAGTCTTTTTTTCTATGCATTAATAGTATCATAGAACATTTCATGAAAGCAGGTTTGTTTCACAGCATACTTAACCAAAATCTTCCATCCTATTAATCACTGCACAGCTTGATTGTTACTCTAAAGAGGGTATCTCCTGTTTCAGTCCATCCAACTTCTGGCCTCAGCCACCCAAAGCTGACGCTATCTGCATATGAGGCCAAAGGTGCTACTCTGTTTTCATTCAATCCTTCCTCAAATAAAACTCACAGCAAAGACAAATAAGCCAAATCCTGAGCACCTATGAAAATTTTGCTCAAGTAGAAAACAACTAAAAGCCAAGAAGGATTTCAGGATTTGGCTCACAATGAGTACACCATTTTAGCTGACAGAAATTATATTAATCAGGGGTACTGCGTTTATATCCAACACATATATTCAAAGATAATTTTTATTTGTATATTTCACTGTAACTTAGATTACTAGATCTCTGCAAATTGACTATTTTTTAAATATGCCAAGGGTTGAACTTAAATATTCATACATTAACCAGTCCTCAGTGATACAAATACTCAAGAGCCTACAGCATTTTATCTATCAGCATTGAAATATGTTAAAATGACAGATTTTCCAATCAATATATAACCCGGTATTATACTAGCGTATGATACGAGCAATGGTTAAGCTTGCATTTGACTGGTAGGTATTCATGCCATAAAAGTGGTTGTTAATGGTTAGTGAAGATGCAGCTAATTTAGAACCATTTGTAATACTTAATAAATGACATTAAAAAAAAAAAAACTTCTATAGCAAAACCTTCCATTCAAATGAATCTTAAAAACACTTGTATTTATGGCAGAGGGCCTTGAGCATCTGGGTTTCTGGCTTATCCTCAAAAAAGCTCAACTGTATCTCACTTGAGTGTGGCTTTAACTAACAGAACAGTTTGAATGGAGTCATAAAGTATTCACCAAATCCTTTTGTCATGGCACTAGTTACCTCTTCTGCTCTCTTACAGTGTTAATACCCAGCTCCCTCATGGAAGCAGTCACATGTACATGACTTACCCCATCACTCTGAGGAAAAAGCATATTCTGAACAACAGTGCTACTCTTTAACCAGATGCACTGGAACACAAACACTGAACCTCTCCCTCTGCCTTACAGATGCATCACCTCAATACCGATACAAAATGCCATGAGCAGAAGAAGCAGAAATCAGGTCTCTCACAAGCCAGGTCTCAAGGTGTAAGCACACAGTACTATAAACTAAGCCATGAAACCAGCAGCAAGAATACCTTTGTTAATTTTAGTAAAAGGAAAAGCTTCTCTTGCTTGAACAGGTAGGTAAGCTTCTTTGACTACTTTCAAAACAGGGATAATCTTAAAGATCCATGTGGAGGAGTTTGCATTCTGCCTACAACCCCTTCATTTTGACCTACATTTTTCAACACTGCGACCTACATTACTATAAAATAGTTCATTTCTGTTAAAGAAACAAATGCTCAGTGCAGCTACAATAAAGCCAAACGTCCCATTAATTTTTAAAATCTAACATTAACTCTTCAAAGAAAACTACTATTTCTCATCTTTAGTCTGTGAACACACAAGTATGCAAGCGCACCTCACTGAAAATTTTATAAAGACTTCTATGATATTTAGTATAAAAATAACCAAAACAGGCCTCTCATTCTTGCATATGTAAGATTGGATAGACACTTATTTGGCTGTGCAACTAGTATGGGCCATACTCTGACATGGTTAGGACCTTTGAAGATACAATAATAATTGTACAACTTCTGAACAAAATTGGATGGCAGGCAAAATTAGGCAACAGTTGAAACAGATTTGGACAAAACTCTGCACTCTGGATTCACAAAACAAACATCTTGAAAACTTCAGTGTAAATGATCAAAGGCATTTCAGCAGATACTGTGCTGGAAGATTTCAGAATATGTAATGAAACAAACAGGAGAATGAAGGCTATGTTGGAAATCCCATGAAGTGGAGCCATAAAGATGCATTTATGCTTGTGTGGTTGTACAGTACCCAGTGAGCGGTGGGAGAGACCCGGGGTTGCTGACAGGTAAAACGTCTCCCAGAATTCTGAAAGAATATATGTGCCGCATCATCCTTTGCACACTTACAACACCCCACTGCTCACCAACCTGGGATAGGGGATCTACTGCCCTCCCCTCTGGTCCTTTTACAGTGATTACTGCAGAACCTCACCACATTGTCAGCATACTATCTCTAGGTGTTGAAAAAATGCTTGTTTTCTGCTGGAGTGGTACAAGAGACCTTAACTACTAGATTGGGCTGGTGGTGATGCAGGGAGTACTCTTTATTTACCATATGTCAACAGCATTCAGCATTGTATCACCATATCTGAGCACCTCACAAACAATAATGGATTTAACCTCACAAGAAACCCATGAGATCATGAAATACTATTATCCTGGTTTTACAGATGGAGAATTGAGCCACAGGGAGATTAAGTTACTTGCTCAAGGTCACAGAGTACATTTGTGAGAAAAGTACAAATAAAATTCAGATCTCCTGATTCCCAGTTTTGTGTCTGAACCAAAGAGGGTCCTTATTATCCTATAGAAAAAAGAGCATCAAAAGTACATATGATACCACTGAGGATGCTTAAATTAAGTTGCTTTTGTCACAGTACCCATGGCCAAGTCACTGTACCATAATGACAATGAATTACTTCAGTTCCTTCTGTGTCAGGCAGCTATGGAGCATCAGGTCTTTTAAGCAGCCTTACTGATATCAGGCCTAAACAACATTTGGAAAGTCTAAACAGGATACTTTGCAAATGACCCTCATTATGAAGGACATTATTTTCAGACCAAAACAATCTTCACTCAGTTACCAGCATTAAATATATTGAGTCAGAAAAGGGTGGTTACAGAAAACTTTCCATTGTCAATTAATTCCATTTTTTAAATAAATTTCTTTGGCTCCTTTTACTGGGTCTTCATTTTGCTCTTAACCATGTATGTTAAAAATTAGTGTCACCCAGTTGAAAGCTCACAGACTGAGAACAGTTACAGTTTCTCCAAAAAAGTAACATCTTTTGAGAAGATTCTCAGAGCATGGACACACATAACGCTTAGAATCGCTTAAATGTGGTTTAAACCTGAAGCAGACAGACATCCAAGCCTGTTAAACCAGTTTAAAGCCACCTGGAATGGTTCAAAAGTATACCCAGAAAACTGAGTTCTATTTTGAACTGTTTCACTGTGAACCAGGTCAGTATTTTGTATAGACACCAAATGTTCTGCAACACGGGTCTGTCCTGGCATGTCCTTCAGGCATCAAACACTGCATCACTCATTGCCTCCATGCACCCAGTGGCTGCAACTGGCCTCCCTGGTATACAGCCAGAACTCTACTGACCACTTTTTTCCCTCTTTGGTTAGCATTTTTTTTAAATCAGTGAGCTCCCTTGCACTGGTTGGACAATAAAGCTATTTTTCTAACAACTGTGTCCTCATTCACTACTTGACCACTCATCATGGCCCCCTAACCCCTGGGAACCAAAAAAGGTCCATGCACCCTCTGCTTCCCAAGTCAGACAACCACATTGCAGACTTTGGTCATTTGTGGGCTACTGAAGTTTATTGAATTCATGTTTAGGAGAGAAGGGAAAGCAGAAAAGTGAAAACACCTCCAGCCACAGGTCACCCAATAGGGACCTACCAAAACTGTAATTTTGAAAAATCCGGCATTGGCCACAAAATCCGCAAAATACACAGGAAAGAAAAAGAAAACTATACTACAAATAAAATGCTGGCTCCCCACAGGGAGGCAGCCATCCTCATGGCGCTGAGGACTGGCTGCACAGTCCGCCAGGGGACAAGGAGGGAGGGGCCTGCTCACATGATGGGCAAGTCAAGATGGCTGCCGCCCTCACCCATAGCCACTGACTGGCTGCAAGGGCTGCCTGCCATACAGCCTCACCCCTCTCCACCAATCAATAGAGAGGGACACATGATGGATAATCCTTGCAGCAGTTCACACAATTGTGAGCCAGTTCTCCATCAGTGAATTGGAAACGGTTTCATTGTTACATGTGTTTATACTCAGGACAGAATGCCTAGCATATAGCTTTACAAAAGGGACTTGATTCTTGCTATCATTATGGCACCATTTTTTGGCACAAAGGAATCAAACACAGCTAATTCAGGTGGCTTTAAGTTCCCTCTGCATGAGGGAATCCCTGAGAGATAAAGGGCCAGTTCTATGTTACTTTCTGTCTATGCCAAACCCATGAGAAATAAATATGACTGGAAGTGAGATGTGTGCTCAATGTATATTCATACTGTG